TCCCTACCTTTATCCTCTTCCCTAAGCTTCCCACAATAAATTTTGCACATTCCCACAATCCACTTAGAGCACCCCATAAGTTTTACACCGTCCCACAATCCCCCTCAACCCATAAGTTTGCTCCCTCTTATGAGGCCTGAGGTAATCTTGTTTTTCTTCATCAGTTTTCAAACATTTTCTTTGAACCTTTTAAAATTTGCATTTTGATGGTTCTTTTAATGGCCCATTTATCAGTGTCTTAAAATTTCTGCTTTTGCTTTTTTTATTATCTGCTCTTTCTTAGAGCTCGTGTATCCGCATGTTTAACTTATCGCCTCTCCTGTATCTTGTCTTAGTTTTTTACATAGCTGATAGCAAGATATGGTTGCCAGTACTCAGCATGAGATATCACAAACTCAGACAACTATGCCACAGTATCTAAAAGAAATACATGAGGAAATAGGTTTAAACGTCCCTTTAAAAAAAATTAAAAAGTTAAGTTGACAATGCATGAGTTCCATCAAGCTTTTGACTTGATAGGTAGGTCTGAAATGTAGTGCTAAGCTCTGACTGCCAGGCTCTGACCTACTTCATTTTGAACTGCAGATGAATGGGATGCTGGTTCCATATCTGCATGTCTTTGCCTGCTTGCTTCACACCCACCTGTCTGGCAGAGGAGTGAAAGCTGCTCAATACCAGTGAGAGAAGCAAACTCACAGTATTGCTGCCTGTGCCACAGGATCAGTCCCTGCCTTTTGTGCTAGAGTGGATGAGAATGATGTCCCCAGGTTAGTCTTCATCTGTCTGTCAGTGCAAGAGACTGCAGTGTATGAACTGTACAAAGAACTAGTTCCTCAGGAAAGAAGGGTCAGCTAAGCAGAGAGCGTGAGACCGGGACTGTGTCTCCTGTTAAATAAACCAGGTCCAGGCAGTGTGCTTAAGCACTGGACTACTGATCATCCACAGTAGTCATCTGCTAGACAGTGTCCTTGCGTAGCTTGATTCTTCTCACCGGACTCACCCTGAGGCTACATGGACACAGTTCTGGGGATCACGTGGACCAGTTCCCATGGGCTGCATGGGCAAGACTGCGTTTGGTTTCCTTCACCATTCTCCCACACTAAAAACTTCAGCACCCCTATGTGCTCTCTGATCACACCCCAGCCCATGAAGTGTGAATTCTCAGTTCCAAGCTATGAAAAATCATGGTCTGCTGCATAGCATTTGGACTCTACTTCAGCTGTTTAGAATTTGAAAACAAAACAAAACTCAGAACTAAAAAATTACTGTTCTTCAGGCCAAAGAGGTATCACAGAGGTCCAAGAGCTTGGTAGCATAGGTATAAGGCCTATTTCCTCTTAGGTTTCTAATTTCAGAATAACCCAACCTATGCCAAGCACCACACTGCAGCCGATTACAGGGAGGCAGACACTTAGTCTGTGCCAGTGAGCCAAAGATCAATCCATGATCCTATGATATTTAGCATATGAGTGTAACCCAAGATGTCACAGTGATCCTCTAATCTTAGAGTGCTCACTGTGACACCTTCAGGATCAAATTCCCTGCCTGTCTACATGGCATTGCTGGTGCAAACTCTGAGATGTGATGCGAGTTCCATCTAGAATGGCAAGGGGAAGCTTTGGCATGTCTTGGTCCTTAGCTGCCCTGCTCTCACACCAAATCCCCAGACCCTGTCTCACACTGTCTCACACAGACCCTGTCTCACTGTCTCACATATTTCCTCACAGTGCTGATTCACTGCAGAAACTCCACACATACTGAGTTGATCATGTAGGTATGCAGGAAAATTGAACTGCAACGTAGGCAGGCTGTGGAAGACAGGAGAGTGCCTGGCCCCCCACAACCAATGCAAAGCTGAGTTATGAACAGGGCAGATGTTGTCTAGTTTGGCTTCTAAGCACAGATATGAAATATCATTCAGAAGAATCTAGGTTGTCCCAAAATGGCACATCTGCCCTTGAAGATGGCTTTCCTCAGTTATCCTTAAACACCAGTGGCACCCTACAATCAAACATGGTTTAAACAGCCTGGCTCTGTGCCTTCCTACCCACTCCCCAGCATCCCAAGGAATGGGACCAAATGGCTCCTTCAAAGGCAACCTCAGAAAAGTGGGACTAATACAATTGTCTGATGGGTATTTTCCCCTCTCTGGCCAGTGGTATCTGGGAAATACTCACCTAGCAACCTCTGCAGCTGAACTGCGACATGGCAAAAACAGGGGAAAACTTTTTAAGAACCTTGTTAAACAAACTTGGTCTGCTGTAACAAGACTAAATAAACGGGGATTTTGTAACTTGAAAGGTGCGTTGTGAATACGTTTGCTCCCCAATTATGTCTGTCCGTGTCTCTCAGGAGTAGCACATTATAGCTGGCAAATGTGGTTGCCTCTTGGAAAAGGAGCAAAGGAGACATCAATAAAACCTGTTGGCTTCAAAGCCATCCCTCAGTTTCAATGCTAGTTGTCTCCAGCCCCGATTGACCTGACACTTGGATTGCTATGCTACACAGCAAGAGAAGAGGAGTGAGACTCCCTCCGTCTCACTAGCTAGCACCTTCCAAGTGCATGTTCCAAGTAGCAGGGAGTGATATAACCAGGAGAGTTTTCCTTAGGCTTCAGAAGAAAATGGAAGGTTCTGTCTCTTTGCTAGGAATCACTTGAGGGCAGTCTAGAGAGGACTAAGGCAGCAGTTCAATTTACTTAGGATGAGCATATACCTGATAAAGGACCTTTACGGGCTTTACCATGTTAGGACCATGTCCTGAAGCCATCTCAAGCACAGGCTCCAGAGCAGAAGGTCAAGTGTTTGAAATGCCTTCTAAACAAAGATGATTCGAGGCACAGTGAGCTGTTGGGGTGGCTGTTTTTTTTCCCTGGGGTTTCCCCTGTAGCACATAGGATAACTGTGTTGTTGTTAGTCACTTGTCCAGACTCTTTGGAGGTTGACTTTGGCAGAATATAGCAGATTGTAACCTTTGACAGCAATTCAGGGGCAGGCCCGTCTCCTTTTTAGGTGTTAAATCCAGAATACCCCAGCACAGGCCAGAAGTCCCACATAGCCAGTATGAGTGACTTAGCCAACGTTATTTTGTTCCAGACAATAGCAATAGTTTTTGGCTCCCGCTCTTTATGCAAGTTGCGTGGTACACATAAACCATGTGTCACGTGACAGAGCAACTTCTTTCTTGACTTGAACTTTTGTGAAGCCTGGCCTCCAAGCCAGGTTCCTCCCTCCTGAACCCATTTTGCTATAACGTGTAGCTGGACAATGGTGTGAGCCTACCAGTTCACCCACTCAAAGCTGCCAGCTGCCACAAAGCAAGCCTACAACAAGCAAGGAGGGTGTGTGGCAGCTGCTGGGATGGCCTGGCCATGAGCACCACAAGGATTTGTGGGCTGGGTGCCTTGGCGCACGTTGCTATGTGCACTGTGGATGTACTTAGCAAGATCTAAGGACCTGTAACATGGATGGAGAAGCAGTGCTCAAGCAGAGCAGAGACCACCTAAGAAGGAATATCACAAAGCACTGTAGCAATAGCAAGGAAGAATTCACATGTGATCCTTCTGCATCTGCAAGGGAGGTCCTAAACAGCCTGCCAACTCTACTATTCTAGACTCAGAGAGTCTTTTTTCTTCTTTTTAGGACAGTGCTTTTAATGTAAGTATTGGAGTTCTTACTTCTGGTATCCCAGACTGTTACCTGAAAGGTGAAAGTTTCAAGGCATAATGATTACTGACATGTAGAAAGTCCATATTTAAACTCCAGATCAAAGAGGGTTGGGTGAGAAATTTCAAGTGTATGTTTGGGACTGACTGGCACTGAAAATACATGCTGTGAGTTAAGGTACAAAAGAGATCAGGCATGATTTCTGGAGGGGATTTTTCTCAGCTCTGTTTAATTCATCCAGGAATAGGTTATTCCACACCCCTCCCTGGAAACACTATAACTTTCTCCCCTTGTTTGTCTTCCCAAGGAACGGTGAGCAGCTGGGGATCATCTGTGAGGACAATAACTATGACTTCAGACTGCAGGAAATTTGGGACATGAAGGAAATCCTCATTATCAAACCGGTACCTTCCTCCACTGGGATGTAGCTGTGGGCAGGCAGGCTGGGGAGGTGGTGAGCATGAAAGGTGTCAGAGCACGTCAACATATTCTGTCCTTCATTCTGTCTCAGGCTGTGGCCCGTTGTTTTCACAGTTTCCTGGTTGCCCATGTTGCAAATTGTTGTTTGGTGTGCTTTGCTTATATGGCTCTGATGATGTGACCTACTATGTTCCCTAGGGGGATGAGATCCTGGTCGAAAGCAACTTTCAGACACTGGATCGGTCAGGGATTACTTTTGTAAGTTTGTTTTTCTACCTAAAAAATTTCCATTGCTTTTAAAATTTGTTTATCACCATTAAAATCCTTTGGGCAGACATATCTCTCTTCCCCAGGCAAATATGGCCCTTGTATAAGCTTATTGTGTCAGACACAATATCATTGACATACTGAAACTTGCCTTGCACAGTTGCTCTCCATCTCTCCAGCAAGACCCTCCTACTACAGGTTTATGAACAAATTCCAAAGCTATCTTGCTTCTAATACCATACATGCTAACTCTTGCCCAAAATGTCAAGTGCAAATAGCAAAACTTGCAGCTGAGTTGGTTTTCAATCATTGACCATTTGGATGTAGTGGACAGGCAGATGTCAAATACAGAAAATGACATAATCTGGCAGCTGATCTGATTTGGACTTCTCCAAATATGAGGACATTCTTTTTGATTCTTCCTATTCAGACCAGACATCAGTTTTGCAGAACTTAACATGTAAACAATTATTGTCATACTCAAGCTTCATAACTTATTTTAGAGCATATGGCATGCAAAGGAGTTAACGATCTTATTGCACTTAGAAATGTGCACAAGAAACTAACATTCAACCTAAAGAGGATTACAGAGTTTATATTCACAGAGAACAACACTGCTTGATTTGGCTGGGCCCATTCCAAAAGTAGGGGTCAACTGGAAAATTCTGATCTGGATGTTACACTCAGTTAATTCCCTAAACGTTTTAGTTGAACTTTCCAAAGTTTCAGATTTTTGGGATCTTGCAGATCGAAATACAAATATGGTAGCCTTCCTGAGGGACAGGATAAGTAGATTTAGGCTATAAAGCTACAGAGCAACCTATTTATCAGCCTCTTGTCAAAGGATACTTTGATTCTCTGTTTCTAACTGTCAAACAAATCAGTTCTGGGTTGGTTTTTTTTTTCACCACATAGGATCTTCATGAGCTGTGAACAAGAGGGCTTTCCTGAGGAGAAATAGTCTCCTTGTTGTGTCTCAGCCGACCTCTGAGTCATCCTTGTGTCTTTGCAGGGTGGGCCAAGCACCATGAATGAGGTGTGTCTCACATTCCTCTTCTACTACCCCCGTAACAACATCTCCAGTTGTATGGGCTACCCTGACATGTTGTATATTGTGCATATACTCAAGCAGGAGGCCTCAGAGTGAGTCCTGAGTCAACATGTTTCTGGAGGTAGCAAAGCAAAATGTAGCTATGAAGAATGGCGGATGGAAAAGATAATGAAAATGCAATGTTGCTGATAGGGAAGGAAGAGCCATGTATCTGAATCTGTCAAGTTGAGCTCCCTTGTTGCAGGAATTTATCAACAGTGGTAATTTAACAATCTCTTCTCCTTTATCTTTCTCCCCCTGCCTTTCTTTTTTTCCCCTTTCCTCATCTTCTCATTGTCTTCTCCACCTCCCCTTACTCTCTCCCCAGTGCAGTGGAAGGCATGATGGCCATGGACTTTGCTGACTGGGATAATGAGACTGTCAAAATTGCAGAGAAAGCAGCCAAGGAGGCAGATCAAGTAGTCAGGATTAAAACCATTAATGTAAGTTCCCCTTCTGAACAATTTGTGGCTGGGGAAGTGGAGTCAGCCCTGATGTTCTGAGAGAAAAGCACAACTGAGAGTCACCACACAAAACCTTAGGTGACACCAGCTACCTGTACCTTATCCATGGCTATAGGAACTGAAAGTGATTACCTTAATTATAACGTCCCATCTCTTAGGCAGTTGCAAGTAAATGCCCAAGACATATTTAGTCACCACTTAACTTTGAACTAAGAAAGCTAAAAATTCTTCTCCAAAGAGAAAACCCACTCTTGCATCTTGGCAATACAACAGTGCCTAGGGGGTGATGCCATGGCAGGGCATTTTCGACAGAATAAGCAATGGAATAGTGCTGAAGGTCTCTCAGACAATGTGCATACAAAGGGAGTTATGATGATCCTGAAAATCCACATACATGGAACACAGCTTACTTAGCTGACAGCATTTCAGTGCGTCAGTCTGGTACCTACTCATCTTAGAGGTAAATTAGGGAAAAATCTTAAATTGAGAAAGGATCAAAATTCCATCTTCTCCTCTCTCAGAGAGCTTCTCTGCTGTCAGGGGGAGACCCATGTCATGACTCTCCCAGAGATGGCTAGTTTCACATCTGGACAGCGAGAAAACTGACTAAAATGCATCCAAAACTTGCAGTGTTATGCCAGTGTCTTGTGGCTCCCAACTTAAAAACAGATCATGTAATTTTATTTTTCCCTCTTTCCTTCCACCCCAGGAACTCCAGAGAAACGAGACTGGTCTAATCAGAGATATCAGGATTCCCGAGCAGGCTGCCTGTCACAATATTCCTGGATACCTCTCACTGTCAGGTCTGAGGGCCACTGCAAACCTTCGTTTGACCGCAGTACATACTTCTGAGTCATCAACCACCAAAGAAACTGCTTCACTTCCTCTTCTTTCTCTCACACAGCTGGTGTTTGCTTGGCTTATCTTGACCTCTGAGTACAGGAAGTGAGGGACTCAATACCAGAATAGATTATTGGCCTGCTGGAGAAGTCTCTGTGATTACCACCTGTTAGTGGGGTATTCCGGATCTGATGGCCCTGAACATGTACTTTCTAGTATAGTGTGTCCTAAATCCAGAAAGCAATGTACTAAAGACAGGATTGCAGTCATTTCTTCAAACAGCTCCTGATTAATTCTTTAAATCCAGAGCTTTCATAGATAGACTACTATATGTATTTGCTCACTGGCATTTCAGTAATCGTTATCTAGTCCCAAGCTATCAGCATACTCCTTGTACTTAGGTCAGTATAGGAAACTAGGCTCCTTAGTTATCAAATATTGTGACTGATTCTAAAACTATTCCTGTTGTATCCATCAATGACTGCATGGCAGGGGGTTTACCTGCTGATTGCCAGGTAATAATGAGACAATGGCTTGGTGTTTACTGAAAAATAGACCTTACACTCTGTTATATAGCAAATGTATAAATTCCAGTTTTACAAAAGCGAAACCATTTGCTTTTCTCTTTTCTTATTTTTTTCCCCAATGTATACTTGAGAATTAGAAGAGCAAATCTTATGATAGTTATGTTCTTTGTCACCATACTGACTCTTCCAAGTTTCAAATTTCAGACCAGTACTTTTGAACAAATTCTCTCCCCACATTCCCCAAGGCAGAATCCATGCTTATTTTGGCAATAAAAGACAGGATTGCAGTCATTTCTTCAAACAGCTCCTGATTAATTCTTTAAATCCAGAACTTTCATAGATGGGCTATTATATGTATGTGCTCACTTTCATTTCAGTAATCGTTATCTAGTCCCGAGATATTGGCATACTCCTTGTAACTAGGTCCGTATGGGGAATGTATCACATTTCTTCTTGAAGTGTTGCCAAATCCCATCAAGGCTGGTAGTACAGAGTCAAACATTCATCCTCCCTTGTATTTAATTAGGGCAAAGGTTTTAGAATGGAATGGAATGGAATGGAATGGAATGGAATGGAATGGATTAGACTATTTCAGTTAGAAGGGACCTACAGGGCTGACCAAAAGTTAAAGAATGTTGTTAGGGGCATTGTCCAAATGCCTCTTAAACACTGACAGGCATGGGGCATCCACCACCTCTCTAGGAAGCCTGTTCTGGTATTTGACCACCCTCTTGGTAAAGAAATGCTTCGTAATGTCAAGTCTAGACCTTCCCTGGCACAGCTTTGAACCATTCCAATGCGTCCTATCACTGGATCCCAGGCAGAAGAGCTCAGCACCTCCCTCTCCACTTCCCCTCCTCAGGAAGCTGTAGACAGCAATGAGGTCACCCCTCAGCCTCCTTTTCTCCAAACTAGAGAAGCCCAGAGTCCTTTGCTGCTCCTCATAGGACATGCCTTCCAGCCCTTTCACCAGCTTTGTTGTTCTCATCTGGACACATTCAGGGACGTTCACAACCTTCTTAAATTGTGGACCCCTGTGTTGGTTTTGCCTGGGATAGGGTCAATTTTCTTCATAGTAGCTAGTATGCTGCTGTGTTTTGGATTTGTGCTGAAAACAGTGTTGATAATACAGGGATGTTCTAGTTATTGCTGAGCAGTGCTTACACAGCATCAAGGCCTTATCTGCTTCTCACACCATTCCACCAGCGAGTAGGCTGAGGGTGCACAAGAAGTTGGAAAGGGACAGAGCTGGGACAGCTGACCCCAACTGACCAAAGGGATATTCCGTACCATATGACATCATGCTCAGCCATATAAAGCTGGGGAAGAAGGAAGAGGGGATGTTTGGAGTTACAGTGTTTTGTCTTCCCAAGCAACCATTATGCATGATGGAGCCCTGATTTCCTGGAGATGGCTGAACACCTGCCAGCCGATGAGAAGCAGTGAATTAATTCCATGTGTTGCTTTGCTTGCGTGTGTGACTTCTGCTTTACCTAGTAAACTGTCTTTATGTCAATCCACCAGTTTTTTCACTTGTACTCCTCCAATTCTCTCCCCCATCCCACTGGAGGAAGGATTGAACGAGTGGCTGTGTAGTGCTTAGTTTCCAGCTGGGGTTAAACTACATCAGGCCCAGAACTGCACACAGTACTCAAGGTGAGGCTGCACCATCTCTGAATATAGTGGGATAATCACCTCTTTTGACCAGCTGTATATGATGTGTTTGATGCACCCCAGGATGTAGTTTGCTCTCTTGGCTGCCAGGGCCACACTTCTGACTCATATTGAGCCTGCTGCGAACCAGCAGATCAGGCTGGGTGATCAGGCTTCTCCAGGCAGATTGCATCTGCCATCAGCACAGATACTAGAACTGGATTTACCAATTTTCATTTGGTAAATGATGCTATGAGCTAGGATATTTCCTCTAACAATGATTCACAGCACAGTGTCCGCATAGCTGCCACCTACTGCTCTATGAAAGCATCAGTCATGTGTGAATTAAAAAGCTGGACCTAGGGCTTCTACAAGCAAACTTGCTGAGGGTGCACTCAATCCCAACATCCATGTTGCCAACAAAGATGTTAAATACTACTGGTCCCAGTACCGACGCCTGAGGAACACCACTCGTCACTGGTCACCACTTGGACATCAAACCATTGACTACAAATCTTGGAGTGCAGCCATCCAGCCAGTTCCTTATCCACCGAGTGGTCCATTGTTCAAATCCATGCCTCTCCAATTTAGAAATGAGGATGTCATGTGGGACAGTGTCAAATGCTTTGCACAAGTCCAGGTAGATGACGTCTGTTGCTCTCCCCTTATCCACCAATGCTGTAACCCTGTCGTAGAAGTCCACCAAATTTGTCAGATATGATTTGCCCTTATGTCGTGGTTTGGCCTCAGCCAGCAACAAAGAACCACGCAGCCACTCGCACAACTCCCACAGTCGTGGAAAAAGAAAATGACAGGGCCAAACTCATGGGTTAAAAGAGTGCAATTTAACAGAACAGCAAAAAGAAAAGACGAAAACGCGATTACAGTACCACCGCGAAGCGCACCGACCGAACCTGAACCCGCACCACCGCAGCCCACCCCCGAGTGGCGACTCCTCTCCTCGCCCCGGCTAGCACCTCTTATAGCTCGGGCATGGGTCACATGGTATGGAATATCTGCCCCCTGCCGGCTCCTGGGGAAATTAACCCCATCCCTGCTGGAACCAGGACACCTTAGTAAAGCCATGTTGGCTGCCACCAATCACCTCCTTATTTTCCATGTGCCTTAGCAGAGTTTCCAGGAGGATCTTCTCCATGATCCTGCTGGGCACAGAGGTGAGACTGACCGGCCTGTAGTTCCCGGGTCTTCTTTTTGACCCTTTTAAAAAAAATTGCCGTCAGAAGTTACCAACAGAGGGGAAGAACATGTTTCTGAGCTGTACAAAACCCACATTCCTTGTGACACAAGAAGTTAGCTTGGTTGTGGTTTACAAGTGCTGCAGAAACATAGCAGAGCCCCAAATAGTGGCAGGACCCTGTTTCAGCAGCATTGAGTACATTTCTCTATGGATCGGGGGCAAAAGTACTATGCTTTCAGATGTTTGCTTTTGAGAGCACTGCCTTCTGGACTCTGCAGGGCTGCTCCCCATAATGTGCCATGGGTCCACCCTGAGAACTTCACTCTGCTTCCTGGAGCTGACTTCTGAATCTCTGTATTTTTCTTCTCCTTTCCATTTCATGTAATAAAACTTATTTTTTCAAAATACAAAGTATTCGCACGCGCGCGCACGCGTGTGTGTGATGGTGTCAAGGTTTGGAAACTCAAAATACTACTAATGCCAGAACCACTTCTCAGCATAGGCAACCACATTAAGGCCACGATCTTACATTTAACATACTACTATCAGAAGATCAATTAGAAGTACATTTCCTTTCTTATTACAATTTTCTGTATGACGGAAAGAGCAAAGAACTTCCTCCTGAAGGTTGAGGGGCGGGACCTATGAGTCATCATCAGTCCAGAATATCATTTTAACAACAGCAGCGAGAGGACAAAAGAAGGGGAAGCAAGAATGTCAGAAAATCTGATTTACGCTGACTTGAACTTGGCGGAATCAAC